TGTGTGTGTGTGTGTGTGTGTGTGTGTGTGTGTTTAGTCTCATTATGAGCACTTGCTGTTCTATCATCCAGCTCAGCCTGATCGATATCACTGTATTCTCCTTGGAGCTGGGACATGCATGTGGATTTGTAGTACAGCGCTATTGTCTGTGACCGTTTCTGCAGCCACACAACATTAACCACCTTCCCCTCCACTCGTCAAACCTGCAGAGACATCGGGAGCAAGCTGGTGTTCAGCAAGAGCGTGGATGCCTGCTGGGGCCGACCGGAGTACGTCAACTCTCTGGAACATGTTCAGGCTCGCCTCACTCTCTCCCACAACCAGAGAGGAAAATTGGCCATTCATCTCATCAGCCCACTGGGCACTCGCTCCACCTTGCTGTTTCCCAGGTACACAGTAAAATACACCACTATACACACCAAGCAGCCGGGCCATGGTATAAATCTCTTTCTTTCACACACACACACACACACACACACAGACAAACACAATGTGCATGTACCTCAGTTTTATCTGTGCACAGATACTCCCACAAGTATACTCTCTGGGAAGAACTGCATTCTACCTTGAGAAAAAACAACACTAACACTTCATCTCCTCTTTTCTCTCAGGCCCAATGACTTCTCCTCTGAGGGATTCAACGACTGGGCCTTTATGACCACGCACTCATGGGACGAGGATCCTCAAGGGGAATGGACACTGGAAATAGAAAATGTAGCAGCTAATGGACGAGACTTCGGTAACCCCACTCATCACCGTTATTTGTTCAGTCTAGTCACATCACATCAAACCTACATTAATGACAGCATGCACTGCCCCATTATAAATACGCTTCTCAAATTAGCCTCTGCTCGGTTCCCGTCTTTCTGTATCTCTCTAAAGATTCAGTTTATACCACTTTTGGTACCAGAGGGAAGCGTCTCTCAGAAGTACATGCGGATTAAAACTTTAAAGCCGCTGGATGGATAAATATATTTTCTGAAAGAAAGTGGTTGGTAAACTTTTCATTATCAACTTTTTTTATTACAATCATCGGGCTTCATTTTCTTTCAGAAGGCTAACAGCGGCATATTTTCAGGAGAGTTAACTCGTTTAGTCCTAGAATTCTTGTGTGGCTTTGGGAAATAAGATATGAAGGCATCCCTTCCTCCTCCACTGTTGTTTTTGGTCCGCTCTCATCACTTCCTTTTCTTCCACCCCCATATCCTCTTCTCAACTAGTTCACACTGTTCCCTCTCTGAGAGGTGTTACTTTAATATTCTCTTCTCTTCCCCCGGCATCTCTCTCTCTCTCTCTCTCTCTTTCCCTCTCTCTCTTTCTCTCTCCCTCTCCCTCTCCCTCCCTCCCTCTCTCAGTTGTGTTAAGTCAGTTCATCCTCATCCTGTGGGGTACTGGACCCAGCGTCGTCAACCCCTCCTCATCTGACTTCCCTCGGCCGTCCAACAACAGCTGCAAGACCTTTGATGCCCAGCAGATCTGTATCGGTGAGATCACTCAGGCGACACATAAACTTTGAACAGTAATGTGGAATGGGCTCTTTTGTGTTGGAGGTGGCACACAGTATAAAGCGAGGAATCTCTGTCTGTCTGTCGGTCTGTGTAGGTATGTCCTTCGCATATCTTAAGAACCGTTAATTCGATCTGTTTCACACGAGGCTGCTGTTTTGTTTGAGACCCGGGGGCGTGCAGTGTTGAAGATGGTTCAATTTGTTCAGTTTGGGCCTTTAACTTTTGAGCCTTAAGATTATTTTAAAAAGTCCAGACAAACCTATCTTGATAAACCACGCCCAATTGTGGCTAGCTATTTTCCGCCATTTTGAATTGTGTGTAATTCTACTACTACTCTTCCTACAAATTGTGAACAATCATCACCAAATTTAGAGCGGAACATCTCTGGACCAATCTGGACAAAGGCACTCTTTTGGATTTTTGATATTATACAGTTTTGCTATAGCTGGCCCCTCAACTCAAATGTATGAAAAGGACATAGTACAGTATGTCATTAAAATATAATAAAAACTCAATGAGTTTTTAAAATGTCATAAAATAACTCATAATATACTGTGTAAAAGAAAATCATTCTATAGTATGTTGTTAAAAAGTCACAGAAAAGTCCTAGTATAATAATTCTGTCATAACAAATTATAGTATCTCATAATAGTAGCTCATAAAAAGTCAGTAGCCTATAATATTTAACTTTGAAGCAAGGTATCTCTGTATGTGTGTTTGTGGCTACGTTCATCTGATCGACTTCACACTAGGCGGGTACGTTGCTGGGGACCCACAAATGAGCATTTTCGATTGGGGTGCAATTTGGCCAGAATGTGGCTCAATAACGCTGGACTTATGTTTTGGCCTGTAACTATGAATCATCACTTTCAAAAATCAAATAATAATTTTTCCTGGATTTTGTGGTTCCTGACGAATCCATCCACATAAACCTCGCCCTATTGCTTCTGGATTGATTTTCCGCGATTTTGAATTGTGTTCAAATCTGTTTTCCTGCCACCCCTGTCCATAAATATCTCTGGCCCGAGCTGGAAAAAGTTTTTTGTGATGTTTTGATGGGCATGCTCTTGGAACGGGCACTGCACTAAATCTTCTAATACAGGCTTTTGCTCAGACTGTGTTGGGTATTTCAAATTGTGAAAGCAAATGTTGTGAATACAGATTGTCTGTTTATAAGCCTCTTTTGCATTTGTTTACCTGCAAACTATGAATATGCACATTGCCATATGCCGTATTAGTTTGAGTCGGGAGTGTGGGACGTATGGAGAAGCAGCAGGGGAGATTAACACCGCGTCAGTGTGAGAGGTGCACATTGTTCAGGAGGATGACTCTCGCACTGAAAGGCAGATGAAGTGTCCAAATGCTTCTTCTTAATTAGTTCAGACTTCACCATAATTTATCTAAAATCTACATTTCAAGAGTTGGTGTTTACACTTTTTTTTTACAGTCGAAGGTTCCTATGAAAGGACTTTATAATTTGGTGATAATTATATTATTAACAAATGAACATGAATCTTTATTCAGTGCATTCCTCTTACTGTGTCCAACTGCTATTTACAGTAACTAGTATTACTCTTACTAATAACACTCAAATAAATTAGTTTCTATGTGGACAATCTCTGAACTGTCTCTTTTCCAACAGAAACAAATAGATATATTAGGGATGAAAAGATGAGTCTATTAATTTATCAATTAACAGAAAATGAACTACTGTGATAATTGATTGATCTTTTCTTATCTTTCAAGCTAAAAATACCAAACATTAGATGCTTCCAGCTTTTCAAAATTGCAGGTTTTCACTGTATTACACTGTTGTAAACTTTTTTTGTGACTGTTGGTGCAACAAAAAAAAGCAACTGCCAATTTTATAGTGTTTTTTTATTGGAATGTGTGAGACTTAACCTCCCTTATGCTTTCATCTCCCACGCTGCATCCAGAGTGCAGCCCCGGCTTCTCCCTCTTCCTCCAGGGTTGTGTGAAGTTATGTCCGCCGGGCTTCACCTCGGGCCCGCAGCTCCTCAACCTCTCCCTGGAGAACTGGGTGGACTTGTCCTCTGTCCAGGCCTGCCTACCATGCAACCCCGCCTGCCTCACCTGCTCTGGCACCGGCCCTACAAACTGCCTGTCCTGCCCGCCTCACAGCCACCTAGTTCTCACCTCCTGCCTGCACCAGAACCAGGTCCAGCGTAAATCCCCACTAGTTGGGGGCCTCCAGGTTGACAGAGCCCAGCCAGAGGGGGAGATCCCAACAGCAGTGGACGACAGCGGAGGAGGCGAGGAACCTCCGGGGCTCAGTGTCGCCCCGTCCACTCGGCTGCCTGCGGTCGTTGCCGTGCTCAGCTGTGCCTTCATCCTGGCTGCCTTCGTCGGGGTCTTCTTCCTGCTGCAGATGCGCTCAGGCGGCGCTTCTTTGGGCTGGAGGACCAAACAGCCCTCTGTGTATTCAGAGACGGGGGTGCGGATGGGCTGCGGTTTTGGCTGCGGCCAAGGAAAGGAGAGGAAAGCACGGATATGCTACAGGGGGATCCCCACTGTGTGGGGGGATGAGGACACGATCGCCTACCAGTCTGAATCAGACAGCGAGGAAACGGACGGTCACGGCGAGAGGACAGCTTTCATCAAGACCCAGAGCACGATCTAGCTGAACCTGCGTCTGCTGTTGTGTTGACTGACATCACAGCATCCTGGGTCTCATCAGCATTTAGATCTGACTGTATAGAGCTGATACAAGAAAGAGAATCACACAGGCTCAGAAAAAACACAGGCCTTACTCTCCCATCAGCACCCCATCCAAATGCATTAAAGAGACAATTATTTGTTTATGTATTTATTAACATTTGTTAATTTATCTAATTTGATTAATATCAGATGACAGATGTATTCATTATCCATTTGACTCTTTGTCACCAATTTGAGGTGTTATGCAACTGTGTTATTTTTTTTTTTGTTTAATGACCTGCTTGACCATATTTTGTCCAGTATCGCACTTCAATAAAGTTGAGGCACTTACAAGAGAAATCAGAATCAAAGCAGCAGAGGCCAAGACGTCCTGGCTTTTAGTCCCAAGTATAGTTAAAATACCATGAATCCTACATCTGCCTGTTGGAGCCCCTCTGCCTGTTCAATGCCCATGATTTTCAAGCTCCACACCCCCAGTTCCTGAAAAAGATTCGAGTCTACAAGCCCAATAACCAATCAGAGCTCAAAATAACCCCGATGACATCATATAGTGTTATTGTTTCAGACTTGTCAAAGCTCCTCCAGAACTACGGAAGAACATTGTACAACCCTAACAGGCCGAGTAGTGCTTTCTGTGACAAGTAAACTGCTCCTCTAAGCCAGTTGAGTGCATTACTTTCCCAAATATGCATTGGTTTGTCACCAACACAAACACCTGGCCATCGGCAGCAAATCGATGTTGTATTTGATCATATTCCTGGCAGATTGTGGGCCAGCGGTCATGAAGTTCAGACGCTATTCATTAATAGTAGTAAAACTTTAAATGGAAGATTTCTGCAGCGCACTGGGACAGCATGATAAAACATCCTGCCGGCTGTTTGATGAGCGAGAAACTGTGGAGGATGCTCTGTGTTCAATCAATGCTCAGTGGGGATTGCCACCGCAGCGCAGACACAAAATCTCATTGACTTGTAGTAAAGTAACACTCTGTTTGAATGAAATGAAAATAACAGTAAAACTGCTCGGCTGACCTTTACAACATTTTTCCTCCAGGTGTCTGCTGGTAAGAAATTAGATCATTTTCTCTTCATTTTCCCCCACGGAGCACATATTGATTTTGGGGCTTCTCTCCCAGAACATCTTCATCAGGGTAAAGCTCTTTTTCCCTTTATTGTGAGCGCCATACATCGAAAGACAAATACATGCTTTTATTTGCTCACCCATAACAGTGTAGACTTGCAGCTACGCAGGTTGAATCAAAAGCCTTTGGATCCGAAGGGCAGAATGATTACAGTGATTAAGTAATGAGATCTTGTATCGCATTTTCTATGTTTGTTTTATATCCTTTTTTTATTTAACTGACAATGGATGTTGATATTGTGGAGATCAGTTTCATTGCTGGAATAAAAGTACTGGCTGTTGCATAGATGGACTGTCTGTCTCTTAACTGCCAGATTTGAAAACTTTTAGGGTTTTTAGGCATCTGAAACCTAGCCCCCCCTGACTCACAAACACCAACCGAGAGAGCAGATGGTTCATGGCTTGTTCGCGGTCGTATATCATTGTAGAAAGTGTGTTTCCTTCACTCCGGGCGTTTGGCTTTAACAGGGTGCCAGCATTCTGTTTTCTTCTCAACACTCTCTGGTTGCAGTGAGCGTGCTTCCCAAAGGCCTTTAATAACAAACAAGTTTCTCAAGTTTCAATATGGTGGCCCTTGAAAGTTTAAATTAATATAAATGGGAAGATGTTTGTATGCACATGGGGAAACAATGCCAGCTGGTAGCAGCGGTGTTCATTAGCAGCTTTTCTTGGTAACAACCTCTACAGAGGCAGATAACTGGGTTCATGGGTGATGGTACATTCATTCTGTGGTCCATAATTAGATTTGCCGGGACAACTGGCTGCACAATTCAGTGCCCCTCGGATGCGCCATGCTTCCCATTATATAAGCAGTAAGTGTGGAAATAAAAGTGTGCGTGTAGTTTGATGGGTGTAAAAGTCTTATGTCTCCTTATTCACATCATTACATGCTTCTGTGAGCTGGTTTTCATTGGTTCTTTTATGTATACCCTTTAGCCTGTATTAATTAGCGCTCATTGTCTGGATAATGATGCCCACTAAAGGGCATGGCAAAACACGAAATATTAGATTAATTAAGAGAACAAGAGCCCCGTTAGCTCGATTTCACATTCAGATCAGTCTCATTATTCCAGCTAGTCAAACCTTATGTGTGCTGAATCTGATGCTCATGGATAATGAACACAGTCGGCACCAGCACAGTAAGATGCAGAGGCTGGGTGTCCCCAGGGTGCCACCACAGGCATCACTTCCCCCTGCGCGCGCACACACACAGAGCCACTTTCTTTTTCCTACACACATGCAGTGCAGTGATCACTCTCAGGCCTCCCTGCCGCCACACATTCTTTACTCCTCTGTGGTCCATTTTTATGAAGCGTGAACAAACAAACATTTCTTTTCATGTTCACCTCCTGCTGAGCTCTGTCGCTGATGCCTGCACCTGACACAGAGGGGTACACGTGGGTGAAAACCTGCTGCGGTTAACTACGGTGAGATTTACAGGGTGAGCTTCAGCGGCGACAGCCTGCTCTATTCAATAGCAGGGAGACTCTTTGACTGCCAACCACTGACAAGAGAAGCACTGGGCAGCCTGAAAGTAACACTTATGTGACTGACAGCAGCTGTGCACTGACTGTGCTGCTGGACTAACTCAACGTTGCCCCCTACTGATAGAGAATCAATTGAGCTCTTTTAACAGCATGAAAACACAGCAGATTCACAAGTGCATTAAAAAGAAGAAATCTAATTAATTTCAGACAGAGAAACTGTTTAAAAAAAGGCAATCTTTGTATTTTGATCTTTATTCAATCCCCATCTCCTCTACTGCAGCTTTAATCCATCATGAATAATCAATAAAGAAGAGACCTTGCCTTCATATACAGTGGGTACAGAAAGTATTCAGACCCCTTTAAATTTTTCACTCTTTCATTGCAGCCATTTGCTAAAATCAAAAAATTTCATTTTATTTCTCATTAATGTACACTCAGTACCCCATCTTGACAGAAAAAAAGAGAAATGTAGAAATTTTTGCAAATTTATTAAAAAAGAAAAACTGAAATATCACATGGTCATAAGTATTCAGACCCTTTGCTGTGACACTCATATTTAACTCACATGCTGTCCATTTCTTCCGATCCTCCTTGAGATGGTTCTACTCCTTCATTGGAGTCCAGCTGTGTTTAATTAAACTGATTGGACTTGATTAGGAAAGGCACACACCTGTCTATATAAGACCTTACAGCTCACAGTGCATGTCAGAGCAAATGAGAATCATGAGGTCGAAGGAACTGCCCAAAGAGCTCAGAGACAGAATTGTGGCAAGGCACAGATCTGGCCAACTTTACAAAAGAATTTCTGCAACACTCAAGGTTCCTAAGAGCACAGTGGCCTCCATAATCCTTAAATGGAAGAAGTTTGGGACGACCAGAACTCTTCCTAGACCTGGCCGTCCAGCCAAACTGAGCAATCGTGGAAGAAGAGCCTTGGTGAGAGAGGTAAAGAAGAACCCAAAGATCACTGTGGCTGAGCTCCAGAGATGCAGTAGGGAGATGGGAGAAAGTTCCACAAAGTCAACTATCACTGCAGCCCTCCACCAGTCGGGGCTTTACGGCAGAGTGGCCCGACGGAAGCCTCTCCTCAGTGCAAGACATATGAAAGCCCGCATGGAGTTTGCCAAAAAACACATGAAGGACTCCCAGACTATGAGAAATAAGATTCTCTGGTCTGATGAGACCAAGATTGAACTTTTTGGCGTTAATTCTAAGCGGTATGTGTGGAGAAAACCAGGCACTGCTCATCACCTGCCCAATACAATCCCAACAGTGAAACATGGTGGTGGCAGCATCATGCTATGGGGGTGTTTTTCAGCTGCAGGGACAGGACGACTGGTTGCAATTGAAGGAAAGATGAATGCAGCCGAGTACAGAGACATCCTGGAAGAAAACCTCTTCCAGAGTGCTCTGGACCTCAGACTGGGCCGAAGGTTCACCTTCCAACAAGACAATGACCCTAAGCACACAGCTAAAATAACAAAGGAGTGGCAAAGGGTCTGAATACTTATGACCATGTGATATTTCAGTTTTTCTTTTAATAAATTTGCAGAAATTTCTACATTTGTCTTTTTCTGTCAAGATGGGGTGCTGAGTGTACATTAATGAGAAATAAAATTAACTTTTGATTTTAGCAAATGGCTGCAATGAAACGGAGTGAAAAATTTAAAGGGGTCTGAATACTTACCGTACCCACTTTATTACCTCTGCTCAAACAAAAACAGACCTCGCATACTAATTAAAAGAAACATACAGAGACTCAGACACACACCGGAACAGAAGGAGAGAAGCTTATGACGACGTTGGACAACAAGAAAAAGTGCAATTTGAGATGCAGTGAAATCTGGTCTTGAAGCCTCAACAGGAGGTGGGGGACTGAGGGGATCTGCAGTGAGAAAGCAGAATGTATCGAGCTACAGCAGACCAGATATCAGGTTAGAGGAGAGCAATAAAGCAGTAGAACTTCCTGATGGGACAGTGGGGCCGGGTGAGCTGTGTCCCGCCTCAGCTCTGATGACAACATCCTCCACGGCTGATGCAGAGGCAGATGTGCATCAGAGAAAAGGCTGCGTGCCTCAAGACAGCCTCAGATTAAGAAGCCCTGTGGAGCTGAAATTATAAAAACAAACTGCAGCTCTTATGAAAGCATTTCTTCTGTGTCGAGGATCCCTGCGTATGATTTGACAAGATTTACTTTTGAAAGGGTCAGTTCACCCAAATTACAAAAACACATTAATTGGGAAAAGTTTTAGCGGTACAGATAGTTTTAGTTTGAAGTTTTGAGAAATCTCTTTCCAAGATTTCAACCACCAACTGAGGTGAATGGAATTTTACTCAAATCACTCAAAACAATTACAAAATCGAAGAAAAAATAAATCCTTCCAGAACCACTGCCCAACAGTTTCCACACCGACTATTGCTGTGTCCCAGTCCCATACTACATAGTTAGATGTACTACACGCCCATGTTTATAGTATATTTTTTTGTAGTTGTAGTATACAAGAATTCAACATACTCGTACTGTTTTATACAAGCAGGAAATAATGCAATACGTGCAGCCAGTAAAAGGCGATCAGTCTATGATTTCAGCTTCTCAAATGAGTGCTATTTTTCAGTTCAAAATGTTTGAAAATCTTTAATATCTCTGGGTTTTGGATTGTTGTCGGTACAAAACAAGTCATTAAAAAGACAAACTTGCGCATTCTCCACTTTCTTTCTGCCATTTTATAGACTTGACTTAATGAAAACAATCATTAGCGACAGCTCAGGACAGATACCTCAAAACCCAATCTATCTGCACGGCCAGATTTCTTATTTGGGTGAACGAACCCCTTCATTGTTCATCTCCAATGGGAAGCTCCCATTGTGCTGCAATGATAGTGACCAACGGCTCCACACAGACATCCAACAGTACTAAGAACGGTCCCTGATAGTGTGCACTGTAACCTCAATACACCCCAGAAAGAAGAAATCCTCAAACATTCACATCAGCATATTCTACAGACACACGTATACATACATACGGATATATCTGCCTTGTGGTATTGAGGTAAAGTCTTTGTATAGTCCTCTACTGCATACAGTATGGTACACAGACCACCCTCGCCGCAGTGAAGTACAAGCACAGGAATGATAGACAGACGCTTTGAAATAAAGAAGCTCATGGGAGGAGAAAAAGAAGTGAAGGAAAGAAAGTCTGCCAACTATCTACAAGCGAATCCCGCGAACAGAAGGTAAAAGTCATCAGATATGATTAATGCTTAATAGTGACTGATGTGAGTCTCTTGGACTCAGACATATGATAAAGAGCTTCAAGAGCTGCAGCACGGGTCTCCTCGCGAGCCAAGAAGAGACCACACATTCTCTTTGCTGCATTCGAGTCTGTCAAAAAAGAAATCAAGTACAAGTATAAAAAACGAAATCACTGTGATGCGTCTTCTTAATTGCATACATTAAAAAAACAAAAACAAATAAAGCTTTGTAAATTGCACTCTGATGTGGCACAAGTCCCAGCACCCCTCCCTCCCGCCCTCCTTCCTTCCTATCTTTTGGGATATTTACATTCAGAAGTTCAGTCCAGGATGGAGCAAAGATAGAAAAAGACACGAGTTCTTACAAAGCAGAACTAAACGAGACTTCATTTTTGATTACAGACACAGACAGACAGACACCCGGTTGAATCTGATGAGCGATTCTGGCAGTCGGTCTTGTTTTGGAACAGCTGCGAGTTCACCCGGGTTTCGCTGCACTCGGAGACGGCCACAGTAACAGCCATCGCCTGCCCCCTGCTGTGCAGTCAGTCCTGTTACAGTGGAACCGTTTTCCTCCGAGCTGTAGTGTTTATTGTTCTGCTTGGCAAAACAGAGGGACCCAGACCCCCCTTTTGTTGCCAGTCTGTGGCCGGCGTGGGCCTGGTTCTTGGTCCAAGGAGTCTGGTGGGTTTTCATTGCCTCTTTCAGTCCCGACGGCGCTTAGCGCAGTTTGAGCTTAAAGGCGGAGATCTCCATGGGATCCAGGCTGATGGTGGAGTCGTTGGCCAGAGGTGTGCTGGAGTGCATCAGAGTCAGGGACATGGGCTGGAGCAGCTGCAGGTCCAGGTTCTTGAAAAGTCCCGATACGCTCAGCTGCAGAGAGCAAAGGCAGGAAGGCCGGAGTGAGAACGCAAATATGGAAATGACCAAATGTCAAGTTTAGCTTACAGGACAAATCCTTCAATGTTTCACTAAAGTAAAAGTAGACGTAACAAAACGCACTTGTATAACAGCAATATAAAGAATTGCCCCTGACAGAGTTATATTATTTGAATATTTAATATTAAATATTAGCATTAATATTCAAACAGCACTTTAATGTTGGAGGTCTAACTAACTAAGTAATAAATCATATTTTTTAAGAAGGACCATATGTTTCGTATGTAAAATATCAATCTAAAAACGAATCAATAGCTACAGCCGTCAGATAAACGTAGTGAAGTAAAAGGTGCAATCACTCCTTCTGAAATGTAGAGTAGAAGTGCATAAAGTAGCATAAAGAGGTGTCAGCGTCGTCGTGTAGCGCCCGACCTCCGGTTCCCCCTTTAGGTAAACACTGTTAGCTCCGTCAGCACGTTTGCTGTTTGTGCTGTTAACACCGCTAGCCTCTGGCTCAGCCATCGCCATGTTGAGAGCCATCTGGAGGCGACAGATATCCTCCGAATATCAACTTAAGCACCTTTAAGTAAAGTACTTTGTTACATTTAACAACCAAACGAGGCGGTTTTATTTTGGGTTTTTTGTTGTTTTAGTGTGTGTGTGTGTGTGTCTACATGTTTCTACCCTGACCTGTCCTTGTGTGGTGGTGCAGTTGAAGCCGAGGTTTGGAGCATCCAGGCCACAGTCCAGCGCCAGACGGTGAAGAATCAAGGCTGTGTAAGGAGACGGAGCGTGGGGGTCCTCCTGCTCACACAGAAAATACGTGTCAATTTCAATGCAACCAAAACCCCCCCCCCAAAAAAATAAAATAAAAATTATGATATAGATATAGATATATAGATATAGATAGTCTCGTCACCTGGCTCTGGATGCTGCGCAGGTTCAGCAGGTGGAAGTCGCAGGGGAGGATGGACTTGAGAGGGGCGAAGGTTTGCAAGGGAGGGATGCCGCGTCTCTTTGGCAGGACGGGCAGCACCAACACCTTGTGGTTCAGGAAGGAGTTGGTCATGTGACTGAGTACAGACGGGAAGCTGGTTGTTGCACTGTCCATCATCTGGAGGAGGGCAGAGACAGATTTAAGCCACAGTAGTAAATGACAGCGTAAGTACAACAACATCAATGAGTGGAGTCGTTCTTTTGCCATTACTGCACTATTACATTGAGGAATAGGCTCCAACTACTTTGTCAGAGAACGCAAGTTTCTAATTATAGACCAGACAGGACCATCTATACGTTATAGTTTATGCCACAGCACCGTGGTGTCATTTTTAAAATCGAGAGCATTACAGTGTTTGAAACATGATGTTTTTCGAAAAGCCAGCGCAACTTCATCCCAAACACCATCAGCAGTTTTACCATCGAGCTGCATGATAAAACTGTGACCAATGCTTTCCATCCTCTGCCAATGTGCATCCGTTCACTTGATAAATCACATCGTTACTTTCACTGGTGCTGTCTTGAAGATGGACGGGTTTGGCTACGGCTAAGAGGTGAAGGAAAGCAAAAAAAGGGTACCTTGAGCTACAGCAAAAGACTACGACGAGTGCTAACAAGCATTTTCACTGTTGCCAAGGCAACGTTACCTCGTGAACTCCGTCACTCAAGATTTTGGAGAGGAAAGAATGAAACAAGGACGAGAGTTTGGCAAAGACGCCACCTTGCTGAAGGTAATGGAGTGAAAAAACAAAACAAAGTTAGAGAGTGGGGAGAATAACAACAAGACAGAGGGGGGTAATGAGTACAGACAGTAGATATGAACAAAGGTGTTACTGAACACAGAATGAAGGGCAAAACACTCTTATATCACACAGCTTTGCACATTTCTCTTAGAGAGTCATTCAGCACCCCAGAGTCAGATTTGGTGAGCTGGAGTTTCAAGGGTGCTCGCCCAGCTGCCATAACCGCCTCCATCTTACAGACCTTGTTGCCCGTGGATCTCCTCTCCAGCAGCAGTCGGAAGCGGTTGGTTGTCTTCTTGTTGTCCTTCAGGCCCTGACCCAGCCCACGATTATCATCCTGCATCAGCCGTCGGTCCATGATCACTTCAAGCTGGCCTGAGGGAAGAGATGGAGCAAGGACGACATCTATTACACGAAGCCCGTGCATCGAACGTTCAGACATCAGTCGATGATGACGAACACTTTGAGCTATTTGTCATTTACAAAGCGGCTCCATTATCCGCAGAACGATGATAAAACGATTGGCTCGGTACATTAACGTGAGAGTTTGAACTGTTTTGCTCTCGAGGGACGAGAGGGAGAGAAAAGCGCTTCAATGCTATTCCACTCAGGGTTAGAGAGGGTAAACAAAGAGAAAGAGTGCATCTCTCAGAGACAACTTTCATTAAAAAGAAACGAAACGAAGAAAAATGACAACATTAGATGAAATGTAATAAAAACACAGACCACTCTCCAGGCTGGTGATACCCAGGGACTGAGCCGTGTGCAGCGTGAGGCGGTGATGGCTGTCCTGGATGTACGCCTGGCTGGGCATGGGATAAAAGTTGGCCTGCAGGGGAAGCTTTAGGTGGTGGTGACGAGGCTGCATCTACAAGAAGAGAACAAACACAGAAGGACACAATAAGTCAAACGTACAGCGCAAAGAGGGATGTGAAATGTTCAGGTCAGGGATAGTTAACTTAAGAGAAATGCCACTACATTCAGTTTCAAGAGTTAACAACTGATCTGAGCTTCTTTTTGCTATATTAAAACAGCATGCAAAGAAATAAAAGGCATTAAAAGTTCTTCTTGTCTTCTCTGAGCCGAGGGTGGGACTGACCTGGAAGCCATTGAGATCTGTGTAAAAGACGTCTCCACTCTGGATGTCCGTGACCAGTCGCATTGCCAGCTCCTTATTGGTCTGATCTCTGATGTCCACCGTGGTGGTGATGTCTATCGACAACCCATCTACCCCTGAAAACACAAAACCACAGAGAACCAAAGATCAGGCTTCAGAAGTATGTGAATGAAAAAATGTGATCTACAAATTGTGGGACAAATGCGACTTGCAAATAGTATTTATATTTGCTTCCTTAAAGTAAAGAATATGCAGCTTACAAGTACAAAGTAATTGAATTTTAAATTGTCATTTTGAACTGATTCCACGATGCCGTTTGATTTGATTATTACCTGGCACATTGTGTATGCGAATGGTCTGCTGGAAATGCTGGTAGTGAGCCACCACCTCCGAGAAGAGAGGCCCCTCCACGACGCGCACCACCGGGGGCTCTTTCTGGTTGTAGGGCTGAAAGTAGGGAGAGAGAAAAAAAAACTAAAAAAACGTCATGAGCAGAATTTGTGCTAGAAGAGGAAGAGCAGCACAGAGAGAAGTTAAAGGAGCCACCAACAGAATGGATGACTACATACAGTATGGCAGCGAAGCCCTTACTTAGGCTTTGTTGTTTTTAAAAACAAGAAAAAATGAAGCGGCACCCAGTCTGCCTGCCTTTCCACCCCGAGCACCCCAGCATGAGACAAAGACACAATACACAAGGGAGACTATCAAAGCCTTTTGAGAGGCAGGTAAACATCTGAGATACAACAGCTGAGAGAATACCTTTGCTTTTCCATCAGGCAGGAAGAGGTAAGCTCCACTTTTGTCTTTAGAGGGACGGGTGCCGTAGACGATGAACTCCATCTGAACCTTCACTTCCTGAGGATCATCCTTTCGCTTGATGCTCTGCAGATGAAAAAGCCATAAAGAGGAAAAGAGCACAGCATTAAAAAAATAAAAAACAGAACTAGAAAAGAGATGAAAGGCAGTTTGAGCAGCAACAAGACATTCCATCTTCACTTTGATCAAACAGACTTGGATTATTGGGCAATCAAGTTCATGATTTTTTTATCTCCAAGAAGATCAAAGATAGAAAACAGATGAGCAAATCCTTAATTCAGATATAAAGTCAACCGGTGTAAGAGATGTCACAACAACACAAACCTCTAGAAGGCCAGTGTCTCCAGAGAAGCCCAGCGTGAGAGACTGGCTGCTAATGTAGAAGGTCTGAGGGTCGGACTGCTGAGAGCGGATAGGAAGCGGCTCCACGGCTCGAGCGGTGACGCCCCGACCAGACAGCCTGAGCAGGGTGTCAGAGCGGAGCGTCATGGGCGAGTCAGGAGAGTCGTAGAGATGGAACACAGCCAGGCCCAGCGGTGGAAGACGGACCATGAATGTTGCCTGGATGGAAGGTGGAAGAACAGTTGGAAAACAAATTAATTAAGCACCTATACTTTGGTTGTGTATAAAGCCATTTATCAAAAGTTAAAAGCATTTTGATATTAGCAACAGTGCGCTGTCCTTAAAGTGTGATGAGAGGTGGTGTTAATGAGATGGTTTGTATTCCATTTAAATTCATTGCTTTCTGTGGGAGGAGAGAATGTTATTCGGGCACAATAAATTAATCTACAGAGATGTGGTGAAGCAAATAGGATGTTTTTTGTAAATGCTGCAGATATAAAATACAATATGAGCTGAATCTGTTTCTAGTGATAGCTTGCAATTAGATATCAAAGGAAAGAGGTTTGAGGCCACTTACTTCACGAGGAAACATACAATAACAGCACATAAACATAGTTAAACGACTACTCTAATTTAGCATTGCACTTCTATAACACTGACATCTTTTTTTTTGTTTTTTTTAGGTGTATGCATTCTTCTTCCTTGTCAAAATCTGGTGTCTACATTACCCAAAATGCAATTCGGCTGCCGACAGTTTGCGTTTTACACGCATAACTGCGACGTGTAGTCTTTATCGTCTATTTTTCTTCTACGTGACTAGAACAGCTGACGTGAGGACAATGATGGAGAACTGTGTCGACAGCAGCGCCAAATCAATCTATTTGCTTACCTCAAATACCTCTGCACTCATTTGACTAGCAGAGCTCCACTGAGCACTCAGCTGCACAGGGAGGGTTTGTCCGTCCTCAGTAAGAACCCGCACCCTGACCGTGTTGACCAGCACAGTTACCGCACACAGGCGCTCCTGCTCAATGGGGTTGAACAGAACCAGGTACCTGGTAGAGAGAAGGAAAAAAATCAAATCAAGAGGCACAGGATGGGCGAGGAGAGGCTGAGGTAGGAGGAGATGAAAGATGTCAGGGGGTAATACCTCGGTCCTGCTGGATCCAGCTCGATTAAAGTGCTCTGAGGCAGAGAGTCTTGAGTCGCGCGCCTGTCATCCTACAAAATGAAGTGAACAACACAGGAAACACAATGAGAAACCTGCATATTTTGTTCCTTCAAAAAAGGTATTAAACCAGTTTATTATACAGTGATGGAAGCATTCCTCTGAGTGTCCTCTTACTGTCTCCAGGAAAGGCTCCGTCTGGTAAAACCGATAAAACTCCTTGTTTTTCATCACCAGGAAATGAGCAGCATTGATGATTACTCTCTTTAGACCAATGAGTGAACGCAGTAATCTAGGGAGGAGGAAGAAGAATCAATGGCCGACTGCAGCAGTCACAGCTTGTTATTTTGCTTCAAAGTATTGAACGGGCTATCAACTATGAAGTAGCCACAGAGACAGAGGATAAATAAGAGGGGAACCTGTTTTTCTATTTCATATAAATTGCATTTTTAAACTTCATCTATCCGATCCATAGCGTCATTTATTTCTGAACACTCGGGTCCTTACCTGGTGCCGTAGTCGGTGACAACATTCTCTTTCGCAGTGCCAGTGATCGCATCGTGATGTTGGAAGAGGCCAACAGACTGCCGCGCATCCACCAGCAGGGCATAATCTGAGACCGGGTAGCGCCCTTCCATGCCCACATGGCGAGCGTTCGCAACCGCCAAGCTGTAGAGGATCTCTGCCCCCCTGAAGGACAGTGACAAGCAGTAAGCATTGGAGAGCCCCATTAGTAGCTTTGTTTAGTCAGTTAAAGGTGTTTTAAGACGACTGCTGATTCTTTAAAAAAAAAAGATTCATTTGAGCATTTTTATTTCATTTTCAAACTTTAACCTGAACAGATGATTCAAACCTCGTTACTTGATTTTTTTTTCCCCCTCAAATTGCTCAGAAATATATACAATGTACACAGGATCTTGCGGGTGCATGCACGCCCCTTAACCTAGTACGCCAATGCAACAAATAAACAAAGTGCCTGTTGTAGAACTCACTGACATAAACAGCTACAGCATCATTAACACGCCGCAGGTTGTAGCTATAGGTGACTTGTGACTAGGTCTGCCTCACCTGAGATGTGACTCTATCACACGGTCCAGGCTCTTGTAAAAGGGCCGAGAGGTGAAATAGCCAGTCCAGTAGTGGTCTTCCCGGTCTGCGTAGGCAAAGAAATCTCCACTAAGCACTGGGAAGTCTGCAGGTCTGGACCCCTGGGCCACTCCGTGTGCTTTGTATACAGCGTTGAAGTACTCTGAGAGAGTCCCAAACTGAGCCTGCAGGAGCAGCCAGACAACATGACACATTGTTCAAAAGAATAATTGAATCAAAACACAGCTGCACCGGGTAAAAAATAAAAATCTTCATCAAAATGCATGCGCCTTTCATCTTACATGGCATCTTTTGAAACAAACATCGAGTTGCGACAGACTCTTTGTTCTGTCAGCAAGTTAAAATACCACTGCATGATTCATCATCACAAGAAAGGTTGTACAGAAAGACACTTCTATCTCCTACAAGCTGAGGAACAAAAACAACACTGTTTATGATAGTACACAAATAATGTTCTCACTTGGATGTGCATCTCTGGGTGAGAATTCATGTAGTCGAATAGCTTCTGGTAGTTGGTGTACTGCTGGTCCCACTCCAGCGCCTTGTCGAAGCGGAAGTCATCTCCCAGAGGGACAAGAAGCACTTTGCTGCGGTAGAGTTTGGACTTTTTACGGTACTGATCCAGGAGCAGGTTCGCCCTGATTGAGAGGGGGAAAGAAAGAAAAGAGGAAAAACTGAGGGGACACAATTTTTGGCATCCAACCTGCCCTACTTTGCACACGGCAGTTTTGTAGGAAATGACTATGACCTTGGAAAGAGGAGGATGAAATTAGCCCTGAGGGTATTTTCCATTAACCACTGAACTATGTTCCGTCCTCTAAAAGCTGCAAGACTACCTGCAGTCCATGTCGGTCTCCCACAGCTCATCCATCCGCTATGGCTGTTGTCATTGGCGCAAGTTCAAGTTCAGTTTGTTTGTTAGGGGCTAAAACAGATAACATTCTGAGTTTTGCAACAGCAGTGACCGATCTGCTGTATTTGTGTGTGTGTCATTACTTTATTACATAAGACAAAGGAAACCAGCAACTTCTTAACTTTAGGGTGCTGGGACTACAGAATATTTGGCACTTTTGCTTAATTAATCACTGACCCGATTCATTTTTGACTTAAAAACTAATCAGCTCTAATATACACCAACAACAATATATCTGCAATAATCCATTTTTAGCCCAGCCGATATATCAGTGCAGCTCTAACAAGCATCCTAAAATTTGTTCTCCGAGACAAAGTCAGGATGGATCACTTCCACCCTGTAACTTGCCCAAAGTAAGAGACTTAACACCCCGCTTGTCTCACCTCTCGGCTACATTGGCTTCCACCACAGGTTTCGGTGGCACTTTCCAGGGACAGTTTATCCGACCACCCGGTAACCTCTTGAAATCAAACTGGCAGCAGACCTTCGGGTCGGGCCCGCAGGTGTGCGGAACGTCGTAGCTGTAGAACGGCATCATGTGGCAAAAGATGTCCGTGTTTGATCCAGTGTCTGTCAAAGCAGTGAAGTCAAAATCAAAAACAGTGGCGTGAGAGACATCCATTGCTGACTGCAGTAATGGGACACACTAATAAGGCACGTTCTGCTGAGTAAGGGTGGTATTTGTGATCATATTCACACCAGTGCTTTAAGTTCACAATCAAACCTACAGTGTTCTCCGGGGACTGTCAAAAGTCATTCTGGATGAAACAGCAAAAGGCAAATGACATCCGCAAAAGAACTGAGTACCACAAATTGATAATATCTAACAGCGCAATATCAGAGGGTTTTTCTATTAGGAACAAATGGACAGTAAATCTTCAGCAGATGTCCAATTTATTGAGAAATAATAGCGAAGATAGCGCTTCTGAGGCTTTTTTACGCACTGGTTGTTCTTCCAAAACGTCCCTCTCTTTACAAGGTCATTACGAGCGGCGCGACTCTTTCTGCAATGAGCTTAGCAAAGATAAGCACATCAATGAGATGGCATCGCTGGCTCTGGTCCACTCACCCCAGGTCTGCCTCCACATAAACTCCAGGCTGCGCGTGGAGGCAAAGTGTTTTTTGATGGAGTAGTGGACCCTCTGGATGAGCATGCTGGTAAGGTTGGCCCTCTTCAGCAGATAGGACATGGTCGCACTGTGACCGAAAGGGTCCACCGCCCATCCGCTGCGAGGAGTGATACCTATGACAGTAAGCAAGTAGTTCAGGTTCATGCTCGGATAAAAGAACAAGTGCAGCCTTTAGAAAGTCATTCCCCTCAGCAGGGAGCACTTAAAGTACCCACTGACCGAGAGGCTACACCTGCTGCATGTGGGATGACAAGCTCAGATCAGATCATCAAACCTTGAGACGACATCATTTTAACTTTAAATATGTGGTGTAAAGGAATTGGGGTGATGAAAAGACACATTTAACCACCTGAATATGACCAAAAAGGTTCAAGTAAGGAATCATTTCAGATTGTGTACCGAGATTTCTCTCCAGCCACTGATGCCCTTCAATGAGCTGGTCTATCATGGCGAAGTAGTGAACGTTGGCTTCATCTGTCATAACCCAGCCTCCCGTGACAATCTCTAGCTGCCCTCCAAGGATCAGTCTGTTGAACAGAGAGGATTAACAGATAACAAGCTATTTTCAGAGCAACCACATTCTACAAGCGGGTACTATCCATTGTGTAAAATAGTGCACATTAAGGCCAGTAGACATCAAGGAAATCTCAACTAATTGTCGAGAGTTAAGGTGGGGTAGACAAAGCTGAGTGCTTCTCCAAGCTGTGACTCACTTGCGCATCGCCTCCCGTTTGTGAACGTCTGCGGTCTCCCACCACTTGGCGAAGAATGAAATCTCAGACCAGATGAATTTCCTGCGAGGATCCTCAGCCAGCTTCACCACCATGTTGTTCAAAATATGCTGCGTCTGGTCTGTGAAGTACTTGTCAAAAGTCTTGATCCAGCCTAACAAGAAGATAAATGTGAGCAATTTGAAACAACAGTTGGCAAACAGACACCCCTTTATGTAGCTAGGCCGGTACAAAGGCAAGACGACGGGGCGGGTAAGAGACTCTTAGTGCTGGAACAGATCAAAAATAAAACTCATATTTTATTCAAGTTGCGCTGTTCCCCCTCAGAAAGCTCTTTAGCGAAGTGGTTTCAAAGAAAGTGAATTAAAAGCACTTTCTGTGCACTTTTGGTGATCATCAGCGTAGAGTAGTCTATAAATATCCTGTGAAATATTCATCTCATATATTGTAGTCATACATATATTCTGATAAGCAATGCCACTGAAATGGCGTCAAGTGCCCGTGGTCAGTTGTGAGGGGCGGGACTATTTACTGCAGGCTTTCTAACATTGTGCATGGTTTGAGCTGCTTACCTTAAAATCCCTTCTTTGCATTTAGCGAAATGAGCCTATTACCAGTAAACCTGCTTTCTCACGTCTTCAGTGTGAGCCGACACCATGCGTACTGGTTGCAAAACACTCCTACCGTCCATTAACCCTGGGCACTGAATATTTGCGGCAGAGTTTAATCAAATGCAGCTCCAAATTCCCATTATTGATGAACAGAATTTGCAGGTCTCTGCAGCCTGTCAACATATCAACAACTGTCAACTAAGTCAGCATGAGGCAGGCTGGTAAACAAGTTTAATGAAAATGTCAGTCGAAAATAAAATCTCAGCCAAATCAACCTATAAATAGCGAGAGGTTTCCGATGCTAATATCTTTCCAATTGCATTGTTTGTGGCTAAGCTGTCAGTTGTGTTGCCATTATGTTAATAATAATGAGAACGAATGAATCAGGTTGTGAATGATTTCTGCATCCCCATCACAGGTCTCCCACTCAGGTAAGGCCTCACAGTTACTGACGAGGCAATCTTAACCTCCTGAAGAAAAGTGTTCAGACGTGCTCAAGGCCGCCGCGTCTTAAGATACAGACAGACTTTTAGACACAGCCTGCACAGAGACATTTACAGCTTCCAGTAAACTTTTGCTCTGTGTGTGTGTCACTTCCTTTTCAACTCACCTGGATCATTGTGTGAGTGGGGGACAACAAACACTTGCAGCTTTTCATTGTCCCACTCGTCGGGTTCATAGGTAATCTCAAAACCCTGTTTCCATACGCCGCCATCAGGGTTGTCAAACTTGAGGAGGGAGTACACATCCAGCATCTAAAATGAAACACAAAGTCATAATTTGCTCACTAGACACACCCCATATATATATATATATAAAAACTAGTAGTTTATATACCACAAGCTCACCTGAACGTCTGCTTGGCCGTGGCTGCCTAAAGCCGGTTGGCAATCCTGGGGCTTGACAGCTAGGAAAGTGGGCCGGCCGTCGAAGGGTAGGACCCAGGAACCATTGGCACTTCTAAATGGCAGGTGGCCGCTGGGAGACACAGCTCCTGTGTCTGTGAGCTCCATCACAGAGTCCTTTATGTGGCTGATGATTTGGTGGTTTTCCTCCAGGAGCTGCTCCAGCTGCTCTATTCGGTTTTGCAGAACTGAGATTTGGCTCTAAAAACCCACACACAGAAAAAAAAAAATAATCATAAATCGCATAGCTGTATAACATCATAAAACATTCTGCAATGAACACTTTCACATTCAGCCAAGGTAACAAACAGCAGTATGAGATCAATCAGCCCTGAAGACATCTACACAACGACAGGGAAATAATCAGACACGTCTATTTACATTAGAATATTTTGGAAAAATAATACATAACGCCTTGTGTTTATCATTTAGAATAATGTATATATGTTAATTTAGGATATTTCTAACATCTGGTCGACAAAACATTCCAATAAAAGTGCGACATAAATAAGTAGAGAAAGGGGTTTTCACATAATACGCACCACCATCACAGCACTTATTCTTACCCGTGGAAAGTTACCGCCATTCTGTCTCCTTGCAGGGTCATGTTGGACTCGATCCAACATCAGATACAGCGAGAACACAGCCACACAGAATATGGCCCCTCCACACACAGTCACCTGTTTCCTCAACTTCATCCTCCTCTGGGGCGGTCTTCTTTCCGGAGTTTAAAATGTAAAAATGACCTTGACGGTGTGTTTCCCCGCACAAAGGATAAGAGAAAAAAAAAGTCCTGGAATGCGATCCTTCACAGTGCAGGAAAAAAAAAAAGTCAGGTAACCAGCTACGCCAGTGTTAATGGTTCAGTTTCACTCCTGCGATGCCTCCAGCCTCCACTCACCATACTGGAGACCACGACGAGGGGGGCTACAGCAGTGGACAAGAGTGCTAAATCAGCAATAGCTGGCAAGCAGTCTGTCAGCTTTGGCCAAACCACAGCCACCGGTGGGCTCCTTCAAAGTAGCCCTTGTGCTCAACCATCCAAACCAATGAGACTGCAGGAAAAGAAAAAAACAAACGCCACACAGAAGGGGCTCAAACAGGGAGTCTAGTGTCCCGGTAGCATGATGTGTGCCACTGTGGGCCTGCTTTCTGGGTCCAGTCCCCACTCCCACAGCACAGTCTAATCCTCCAGTATAGCCAGAGTCCCCTTTTGATCAGTTGGCCTCTGGTGCCATAACAAGTTTGCCCTCTAGGCTGCGGAAGTGCAAAGAAATAGGCCAAGATACAGACCAATTTGGCACAGAGCAGTAGTTTTTTTTTTTTTTTTTGTTTTTTTTAAATCAAAGCTCAACTGCTCGAGGCAGCTCCAGGAATTAAAATGACACAAATGTCATTCTTCTCTCAGTAGCATAGTGACAGCACATCTACTGGGGCAGCATGGGCAGTGCGTCTGTCCTTGATCACAAGTGCCAAGTTGAAGTCACATCAGAGGGTCTTCTTCAGCTGTTGAGGAAAATTTCCGATTAATGGAGCATGCAAAAATATGTATTCAGCCTCCAGAGAGGAACTGTCACAATAAGTAGAAGTGAAAGGAACTAAGGAACTGTGTGGGAGAGTGAGAGACACTTTTTTTATTTGTTGTGATCTGACAAGTTAAGCCAACAGGGGGGGGGGACAAGATGATCACAGTGACCTGCATTTCCTCACAGCACTAATAGGGGTTCTCGCATCCCTCTGTGTGCAAATCCAACACGATCATAATCCGCTCACTCCTCAGGCTGGGACTATCTGAGCATTACCACAGGGGGCCGGGATAATAACCCGGCACTTACATTTGCTTAGGCTGACTGGAAAAAAAATAGCCTCACTGTCATCAGGAGGACAAATGTTTCTCAGATCATCTGTTCCACATGATGAATAAAGCTTAGTTGAGGTGCAACAATCGACTGCAGCTCTTCATTTATGTGACACTATGTAAATGCACCACAAATCCCAAGCTGCTCACATGATGGCACGTTAGCATCAAGGGAAACAGTCCTCCTTATTGACAATCCCTCCCTAGTGTAAACTACCAAAGTCCGGTTTAGAAGGGTAAACAGTGTTCTTTGAGTTATTGACTCAATGGACGCCTCTGTTATCGTTTAACTTGGATGACTTTTAGTCAGCTATCGCTGGGCAGCTAGCCAGCAACATTGCGTTGCTCCAAACTTAAGAGCACCTAAATACCTGCATTTTGACATTATTCTGTATAAACTCAGACACAGGGCAGCCTGTTTATACATTTAGCTCGTTAACCTATTTAGCCGCATTAACGTCCTCGGGCAAACTTTGATAATCCCTCTAACATGAACCAGATGTCACGAATATGCAGCTGAACAAGCTAGCGTTAGCCACCAGATGTTATTTTATTGAGATAACGTAACAACACCGACTGGTTCGCGAGCTAGCTTTCGAGAAACGGGACAACGTTAGTCAGAGGGCTGATACATGTAGGTGGACAGCAGTCACAGTCGTCCTTCCGCATCCGTGAGAAGCCTGTGCTGCACGGCAGATTTATGTCCAACGCTACGGACGATAGCGAGTATCGCTGCTGCCTTGGTAACATTAGGACAATACGTGACTGATATCTCCTGGCTAACCATTCACTTTACATCTAAATCTCGGCTAACACTTAACCTAAGTACGACCTTGGAAGTCTGTCTCTTTATGAACAAAATAAAATAAATATGACCTTACCCATCAAAGGAGAGCAATCCGGAAGAGTGTAGAGCCCAGCAGCGCGTGAGCTTGTAGCTCCAGGGATCGACAGATTACCAGTTAGCCGAGCAGCTAGCTGAGCTGCTGCAAAGGCTTCTGGGAAGACAGGATCCTCGCATCGGTCGGTGATTGGCCAACAGCTTCGACAGATTGTAAAATAAATGCACCATTATAATAGCTTAACGCACAGGGTGATTGTAGAGAACATAGTTAACATTTTAAAAATACATAGTTGACATAAAAATGGTTCAGCACACAGTAAACAAGCAGATCCAAGCAGTCAGCCTATGAGTGAAAATAATCACATAGTCTGGGCTGTACCTGTGATAATAGGCTGGATCATCTGCTCTGATACACCAAAGTCCAAAAATAAACACATGTTCTAGAAGGGCCAGTGTGCACTACTCTACTTTTTCTTGTTGTAGTCTAAAAGCAACACACAAAATATCTTATAATTTTAAGTAATGTCTGAGTTTGGTACCCTAAAAACAGTCATATACAATCAGCCAACAAGTCAACACTTTCTCAACAACTAGCTAATTAATTTCATGTTTTCAAGTTTCATGGATTGTGAATGGAGAAAAATCCGAAAAAATAATAGGCCACTTCTCACCCATTGTGCATTCAGTGCAGTGGCAGGTTTTGAGTAAAATAAAATGCTGTAATTTAGGGAAAATGTGGATAAGAATGTGTGCCCTCATTGGACGGTGTACTGAAGATGGCCAGTAATCAAAGAAGAGTAGGATAATAGCTTGTTTGAACAATGATGGACTTCCTTTTCTATACAGCACTTTGAAAAGTGGGAGTAGAGGGGGCTTTCTAAGATTAAGAAAGGTATGTTACTTTTATAATGTTGTTGGAGAGGGACTACTGACCCCTGGTCTGAGACACTTGCCTATTGATAGAGAGCCTTAAGTGGTGCCGCCTATTCTGTTACAATATCACCAAAGCTAAAGACCAGCCTGACTGCAGAGAAGTGAACACCAGCGTGCAGGTGAATGACACCTGAGGAGCCCAGTGTGGAAAATGTACTGATGCTTTGCATGGATTATTTTAGTTTATTCATACATTCAGCAACTCTTTACGTGTTTTGGAAACGGGAGCTTGGCTGACATTTAAATAATTAATTAGTAGATTGTGGGGGACACGACAGGAACAGATGGTATTGTTTTGGTTTTGCTGTAGTCACAACAGACTGATAACTTTTCATCGGGTCGACAAAACTATTATAAATTCGGTGTTTGATTGAGATGTATGAGAGATATTTCCAGACTTAAAAAATAGGTTTGGTACCATAAAGTACACCAGTATTAGCACAGTCATGTTCTGAGAGCACAATCTCTCACACAACAAAGTAGTGATAAGGAACAAATGTTTACACAGCTGGTTTTGATTTTGATTTGAGACTCTTCTCTTTGGGTCCATGGTGTTGTCGCTGAGCCTTGTGGATATCCTGTGGATCTGGTATGTATGAGGTCTCACAACAAGCCCAGCCCTGAGAAAATATATTCCAACTTGCTGGATATTCTTCTAAAGTCACAAAGCTGCCCTAGTAATATGAGAGTCTGAACAGGTGCACCTGAGCACAAATCCCAAAGGGAACCACCCTGTCTCCACAGCAACAGAGTAAGCACAACAATGGTGCTTGGCTGTCCTGGTAAATGAGAGTCCCCAGGTGACTAATGCAGGTAATACCACACCAGACACTTTCTTTTGTGGTTTTAAACTGTGCAAATGCACCATACATTTTGAATCTCACATGCCGAGGCTCAAAATGCAATGTAATTTTTGCATTTACTCAAAAAAGTGAGCACGAATCCAGCCCCCTTCAGGGATACTGAAGTGAACATATGATTTTCAGAATCAGAATCAGCTTTATTGACCATGTATGCGTACGCATTTGACTCCGGTTTACACATTGCTCTCAACATACATACATAGAATATACAAATAAATAAGAACAATATTAAAAAACAAGGGCATTAAAGACAACAAAGTAGAACAGAGAAAATAAGCATAAACATTTAACATTTAACTACTATGTACAATATAAATATATATCGAAGAATATACATGAACATAAAGAACAACAACAATTACAATGGACAATGGATTTGGGATATTAGTGAAAATGGTGGTAATAGTGCAAATGGAGGTGCATTATGTCTGATTCATTGTTTATCAGAGTAACGGCCAGCGGAAAGAAGCTGTTCTGGTGTCTGGTGGTTTTGGCGTACAGTGCTCTGATGTATAAGCACTTTATTTGAGTGTTTCCATTTTGTGCAAGCTTATATCCACTATATTTGTCAGGCAGCAGTAGCTACTAGTTAGGTCGCCATTGGTTTGCATTTAATATATGTGGATTAGTGGATTTGTGTTGTGTTGTATGCGTTGTATGTTTGCATTGTATGATTGTACATTTTATCCAGTGTAATAAAGTCTTGTGTAGCTTGGTTTAGTGGTCCGTTTGGCTTCTTAAACTATAAATTCAACCAAACATGGTGCCATGTTTTTTACATTAGGTATATAGGATCTTTATTAAAGGTTAATGAATAATTTAATTATTCTTATTAGATCTTTTAAGACCATTAATAACAGCAACTTTCTAGGTTGCTATAGGTTATGCATCAATAACCTGAAGTGCTAGTTCTCTTCTTTTATCACAAGAGGCTTGATCTGTGTGGACTGAAGAAAGCCACAGAATGAAAATGTAACCAAATAAAGAAGAGATGGAGACAGACTGCGCTCTGGCTCCCCTCTTCCTTTTATGGTAATAGCGCGTGAGGGGAGGGGCTGCTAGCGAAACGTCATCAACTTGCTCCGGACACCCGGAAGCGTAGCAAAATGTAACATGTTTGGCTGAAGTTAGCGGTGTTTGTGACCAAGTAAAGTACAATTAAACTACATATTCGCCACATTTAGTAACGCAGTATTGTGTATTACACTTTGAAGATGAGTGCGAGTGAAAACGAAAAGGTAAGACAACAGTATTAGCTACGTAGCCTTTTTCTTTTTTTTTTTAGCATAGCAGATTTCATCCATTTCTGTCATCCTGAGCCCTTTTTGCTTACTTTTTCTTGTCTTTAACTCAGGACTCTGCAGCCCTGAAGGAGGACGGGAACAACCTTTTCAAGGCAGGAGACGTTCGGGGCGCTATCTGCTGTTACACCAAAGCAATAAAGCGGAGTGACAGCCAAGCAGAGAGGGCTGTTCTGTACCGCAACCGCTCTGCCTGCTACTTGAAACAGGAGGAGTACACCAAGGCAGAGGCTGATGCCTCCAAAGGTGGGATCAATCACAGCCCAGGATGTTGTAGAGTTCATAGATCATTGAGTACAAAGGCACGTTTTATTCAAAGTTTAAATTAAGGGACACTTCCCCTAAATACACAATTAAGCCTCCTTTTACCTGCACTGATATATATCCATCCAGATACCTGCAGGGCTGTAGCTTACCCTTAACCTGGATCCTGTATTGAGATTTATGTACACAGTGATATTGAATGTCTTGTCCGTCACTCCTTTCAGCTCTTGATGCTGACCCGGGTGATGTGAAAGCCAGGTTTCGGAGAGCTCAGGCTTTCCAGAAACTCTCTCGGCTTGATCAGGCGTTTCTGGATGCTCAGAGGTGTGCCCAGCTGGAGCCCAAAAACAAAGCCTTCAATGATCTGCTCAGACAGCTGGGAGCACAGATCCAGCAGAAGGTGATGTGTTTTGAGTGGATTTGAAGGAGGTTTGTCTTGTGTTTGAAACAGTACCCTGAAGAAACAGTAGCTAATTAGTTTTTGTTTTTTTTCTCTTACCGTTTAGTCGGTGGAACTGAACTCCACAGATGCTCGTGTGAAGCAAATGTTCTCACTTCTCCTCGATGCATCTGCAAAAGACTCGGATCGAGAAAAGGTAAGGGAAACTCAGAAGGCAGGAACATGACAAAGTGCCATCATTTGCTCTCTTATTATGTGTTTTGATTTGTATTCATTTCATCTTGATCCGTCTGTAAAGTTGTATTGCACCAAAAATTTGTCTTCCACTAAAAAATTCCAGGCTGCTCAGAATCTGGTGGTATTGTCTCGAGAAGACGCAGGAGCTGAGCAGATCTTCCGTAACGATGGAGTGAAGCTGATTCAGAAACTTCTTCAGTCAAAGCAGGAGGATGTTGTCCTTTCTGCCCTGAGGACCCTGGTTGGGTTGTGCACAGGGCATCAGTCTAGAGTAAGTGGGCCGGTTCCCTCTAAAGTTATTTACTACATCATCATCAAGTCCTTTTTTTTTTTTTTTCGAACTTGTACTGTGTACCCACAGTAATGGCCCTCTTATTTGTAATTTGTTCATTTTACTTCCATCCTTTACTGCTTGTTACTGCTGACATCCACTGTTATGTCCCCAGACCATGGCTATAGTGAATGAGCTGGGGATGGAGCAGCTTTGTGCAGTAATGGGAGCAGGAGCCTCCACTGTGTCTCTGGCTGCCTGCCACCTACTGCAGGTGATGTTTGAGGCTCTGACGGAGGGCATGAATAAAGAGATCAGAGGGAAAGATGAAGCCATACTTCCTGGTGAGTTTGGATTCTGATCATGTCTATATTTAGAGTTGAATTGTTTGTGTGTATCAGCTTCCTGTCCGTTATTGACTGTGTGAATTTAACACAGAACCCTCCAAGGAGCTCCGCTCAATGCTACGCCACCTCATGGAAATGATGCCGGCATCCAATGTGTCGGGGCCGGGCAGAGACAGCGCCATCAACCTCCTGGTCAAACAAGTTCCCCGCAAGTCCTTCAAAAACCCAGATAACTCCCTCACGTTATGGGTGATAGACCAGGGTATGAAACACACCTGCACTTAATGGAGATGTTCTCACATTTTTTTCAGATTAATGAGCTCCTTGTTCTCCTGCAGGACTGAAAAAAATCCTGGAGGTGGCTGGGACAGTCCCTGAGCTCTCAGAAGGACCGCCTCTGACAGACAACTCCCACATGAGCTGCTCCGTCTTACTCAGCAAACTCTACGACGACCTGAAGAGCGATGCAGAGAGGGAGAATTTCAACAAGCTATGTGAAGAATATGTACAGTGAGTTGACCAGCGAAACTTGCGTTACCAATTTCCCAATGTTTCTGTCACTTGAGCAGCTTCATTCTGTAATAATTTATGAACAGGTAAAAAAAATCCTTAATACAGGCTATATGCCAGACAGTGGCATTCTTTAACTAGCTTGCTTTTCTGCCCTTTTTTTCTGGTTAGGCAACATTTTAGCCGAAATGGCCTCGTCGGCAAGCTGCGAGCCATGCAGACCGTGTCGGTGCTCCTCCAAGGACCGAGCGAAGTGGGTAACAGAACTCTGGAGATGTCAGGAATGATGGACGCAGTGATCTCTCTGTGTGCTTCCGAAGATGTGACACACCAGCAGGTAGCGGTGGAGACTCTAATCCATGCGGCCGGCAAGGCAAAGAGAGCCTCCTTCATCACAGCCAACGGCGTGGCTCTCCTGAAGGACCTCTACAAGAAGAGCGAGAACGACAGGATACGCGTGAGAGCTCTGGTGGTAAGTGCCGCGCAGAAGTATATTTATCTCAAACCGTCGGAGAAAAGACATCTCTAAGTGAGGAGAAGTTAAATGTGGTGTTCTGATGGTTATTACACAGGGTTTGTGCAAGCTTGGGTCAGCTGGAGGGACAGACTTCAGCATGAAGCAGTTTGCAGAGGGATCCACGTTAAAGCTCGCCAAGCAGTGCAGGAAGTATGTTTGTTTGTTTTGAATCCGGAGCATGTTTATAGATTAAGAGAAATGTGCCTGGTCCACATTGTTGCATAACCTGATTCAAAGACGACCGATAATGCAGCAATAACGGTGTAATAAGAAGCAAGCTGTATGTCTTTCTCTTATAGGTGGTTGTGTAATGAGTCTCTGCCCCTTACCTCCCGCCGCTGGTCTGTGGAAGGCCTCGCCTACCTCACTTTTGATGCCGATGTAAAGGAGGACTTGGTGGAAGACAAGAACGCTCTCCTGGCCATGTTTGAGCTAGCAAAGGTTTGACTGATAGTAATTGGAGGCTTTAATACTTGTGACACATGGACAAAACAGGGCAAATATGAAGTCGGCTCCTCTCAGAAGAGCATCTTAGTGACTATTTTAATATGTATTTGTGTGTAGTATTTGAAACCACCACCATAATAATATACCCAAAACCCTTTTTGAAGTGTTGACAAGCTTGTTTTTCTTTGTGTTCCTGCAGTCTGAGGATAAGACGGTGCTTTTTGCTGTGGGCTCCACATTAGTGAACTGCACCAACAGCTATGAAGTGGAGAAGCCAGACCCTCAGATGCTGGAGCTGGCCAAGTATGCAAAGCAGCACGTGCCTGAGGAGCACCCCAAGGTGCCATTTCAATTCTTAATTTTTCACATAGCGATACATTTGCTGCACACAAATGCTGCATGATATTACTTCAATATTGCACAGTAGCTCTACTACTCTCCTGTTTCTTAAGGTGTTTTTCATCCGTATTTCTTTTTAGAGATTGTTTTACATGCACCCGTCTGTCTTTCCATGTGTCAGGATGCACCTTCCTACGTGGAGAAAAGACTGAGGAAGCTGCTGGAGACTGGTGTGGTGTCTGCGTTGGTGTGTATGGTCAAACAGGAAAGTCCCGCCCTCACTGACGCTTGTAGAGACTGTATCGCCAGGTAGGAAAATGGCAGTAAAGTCTTTTTTCATTCACTGTTCTCTCTGTAGACTTTCTGTTAATGCTATTTCTCACAACAGGGTCTTCTTGGCTTTGGTGGAACGGCAGGAAGACAGAGGCACAGTGGTGGCACAGGGTGGAGGAAAGGTAGAAACACCCTGACAGTTTAGCCTGCACACTGATCTAAACACCTTACTTTCGTAGGTTTACATGATATGTTTTGACTGTTTTCCTTCATAGGCTTTGATCCCACTGGCATTTGACAACACAGATTTAGGTAGAATCAAAGCAGCACAAGCCCTGGCGAAAATAACCATCACATCGAACCCAGAGATTGCCTTCCCAGGAGAAAGGGTATGCTACAAAAAGCCTCTTCAGTTTAAAAAAAACAAACAAACTTAAAGACCTTTTCCTAACCGTGTCTAACTTTCTGTTGTCAGATCTATGAGATGGTGCGTCCCCTTGTCAGTCTTCTGTGTCTTGAATGCACGCTGCTGCAGAACTTCGAGGCACTCATGGCTCTTACCAACTTGGCCGGCATCAGTGAAAGACTCAGGTTGGCCACTAGGGGGAGTCTCTTATAAGAACACATGTACAAAACAATTGTAACGGGACATAACCTGCTAGTATGCAGAAACCAGAGCTCACTTTACTTCTTTTGTTGACCTTCTTATCTACCTTCCTCAAAGAAAGGAACATCATTTCATAAATTGTTCCAGAACAATGTCATTTTTATGGTTAAACATGCAGGATCCTTTTTATAATACATCTTTTCTTATGACCTAACAGTTCTGTATCAGCGTTTAGAGTACCTGCTTGTATTGATCACATAAGTTATTTCACAGACAAAAGATCATAAAGGAGAAGGCAGTCCCAAAAATTGAAGGCTACATGTTTGAGGAGCACGACCTGGTCCGAGCTTCTGCCACAGAGTGCATGTGTAATCTGGTTTTAAGCACAGAGGTAAGACGCATGTATCCATAGATGATTGTATGGCACAAATATGTTGAAAAGTAGATTTAAAAGCGGTGCGTCCTCAGGTGCAGAAGATGTACCTGGCCACAGGGAACGATCGCCTGAAGCTGCTTGTGCTCTACAGCGGAGAGGACGACGAGAGGCTGCGGAAAGCTGCTGCGGGAACTCTGGCCATGCTGACCGCTGAGCAGCCTGAGCTCTGTGCACGCATCCCTGGAACAGTAAGCGGACTACTGCAGCGGCTCACTGTTCCCACACATCCATCACCTCAGCACTGTGGTACACTACAACGATTATTTTCTTTTCTCTACTCAAGCTAACATTACTTCCTCTTCTCTTCTCAGACAACCCACTGGCTGGAGATTATCCAGTCGCTATTGCTCTGTGAAATATCTGACCTGCGCCACCGTGGAGTGGTTATAGTTCACAACATGATGCAGGCAGAGAAGAGTCTGGCTGAGACGATCATAGCGAGTGAAGCTCTGGAGATACTTTCTGTCTTGGCCAAGGGTGGAGAGGGCACGCCGGTGCCTGTTTCTAAGATAGCCCAGAGCTGCCTGGACAAGGCCGTGGAGTACAGCATCATCATGTCCGGGGAAGGGAGAGAAAAGGGCAAAGGAACTGAACCCTGAAAACACAGCTGCAGCGTGTGAATGTGCCTCCTGGTAATGTTAAAGTGCTTTAGTTTGAGTTTTATGTGGGACCAGTGAAATCATTCCCCTATTAAAGGAACTCAGTTTTGGTCTGGATGGGTACAAGCCGACCCTGAAATGCTCACGTCTTAACTAAAAGCTGTGAAAAGCAGTAAAAAGAAGAAAGGCAGTAAATTAAATCTAGTAGATACTTTTTCATTTCATATTACTTTTCCATTCATTTTATTCATCTAAATTGTACTCTACGTGCACATGGGAGAAGTTTGCCCATGTGCACACAGAGAAAGGGCTTTCTACCAGAAATCTCCTTTAGGTTTAGGCAACAAACCTACCAGCTGAGGTTTAAGAAAAGATCATGTTTTGGGTTAGAAAATAAATCCTTTCTGTGCACTGTATGATGATGGACCACCACCAAGTCTTTGTGTGACTTGGAGACCAATAAGGCTACTCTAAACATTCTTTACTAAAGATTGCCATTCTTTGATATTAGCAAATGTTTTTCTTTGTCATTATTATTCCCCAAAAGACAGTCTTTATTTTACATTTTATATACACTGCTATATTTAGTATGAATTCTGATGCAGCAGCTTTCGGTATTAACACACACTTTTTGCAGGAAATGCATAAACAAAAACATTTCATTCACATTAATTGTGTTTTATTTTGAATGTTTTTTTTATTATCACTCCACTACATTCTCAGTGTTGTATGGTCGGTCGTTTTCTAATTTTGACTGAATAAAACCTCTAAACCTGAATTATGTTGTCACGTTTCTGTCAGCCAAGTCGCTTTGCAACAACACTGCAGCGCATGCGCAGTACATCCCGGTGCTACGTACACCAGTGTTCAAACTTTGCGGACAACTGCGTCGCACGCCTCAACAGCGTAAAGCCTTTCCAATGCCGTGGTTCGGATTTGGCTTTAACGCATTTGGACAAATATACGTCCACGAGGACCTGATAAAAGGAGAGTGTAGCGACAGTGCTAAGCAAGTCAAAGTGAGTAAACCGACAGAGCTTTCCGGTCAGGTGGACAGACGTGACTGCTGCTTGAAGACTGAAATAAGAGCAAGTTGGAGTCGAAGAGCATCTTTGCATTTGGACAGTAAGTCTAATAGAGACGCAAACACTTCTCGTTTGAGACTCGTACTACTTGTTCCATGCGTCTATAATACCACGCACTTTGTATAGATATTGACTCATGTATTCCTCATGTTCCCTGTCTATTAGGTGACAGCTGCGTGTGCCTCGCAGGGTTCGTCTCCAGTGAGTCATGTAACGCGCTCCCTGTGAAAGAGAGCCGCGGCTGTAAAGACGCCATCATCAGTGAGTCGTACTTGACCCTCGCTTTCTCAGACAGACTTGAGTCCTGGGATCTGCAGAAGGAAGAGAAGACTCCCTCGTGGAGCATGGCCATAAAAACACACCCAGAGAGCTCTGGTAATTTACATCACAATCTCATATGACGGCTGCTAGAAGTGTAATGTGATAATTGGCTAAACGGTGCACTTCTTGCTGCTTTCCAGGACCCTCCGTGGATCTCCCGTTGGTCCCTGGGGGTTACATAGCCACGACACCGCCCCTCTACCGCTCCCTGTCACCACAGCTGAGAGCCAAGAGTCTGGCTCTGAGTTCAGAGCACGCCGTCCTCCTCAGTGCCTCTGGAGCTGTGTACACCTGGGGACTGGGCAGGTAGAACTAATATATGTCTAGTGGGAATCCGAGAAAAACATACTCATGCATATCTTTATCTATTGTGTGTGTGTGTGTTTATTTGACAGCCATGGTCAGTTGGGGCACGGAGGCCTCACCTCTGAGGAGGAGCCCAGGGTAGTAGAGGCACTCTGGGGGATGACCATGAGCTGTGTAGCTACAGGAAGCTGGCACTCTGTCTGTATCAGTGGTACGTGTCTTACAAGATGTTGGCAGTGGAAAGAGGTATGCCTTCAAAAAAACTAAAATGACCTTTCTCTTCAGACGGGGGAGATCTCTATGTGTGGGGCTGGAATGAAAGTGGCCAGCTTGGACTTCCATCACGAGGTCTGAGGAAAGCACTGCAGCAGCAAAGTAGCCAACAAGCAGGTGAATCTGTTTTACTGTCGGAGTAGGTTTTTAAGAAACACAGTGCAGGGACGTTTCACCTAAAAACACAATCAAATTTTTACCCACAGCGCTATCGATCAATGCTGAGGCGCACCGCACCCCCAATACACTGCACTCAGCTGAATTTATAGCTATTTTATAATTTAATTATTTTTCATAAATACACATGTATTCTAAATATTTTTTCCCAGTAGCTTATCTCATTGCACAGCTACTGTCTTCCTCAGTTGCGCTGATTCCTGCGCAGCTTGTTTTAAGTAGAGCTTTTATCCAATCAGACTTCGCCCCTATGTTGTCTCAGTAAAAAACTCTTGTTCTGTTCTGTGTTAAGTGAACTGCTTTTGTTTTTTTACATCATACAGCAGTAGCGTTACTACTGTGTTAATTTTTCTATCATGTCGTTTTTATGATGCGGTTAATATTGTTCCCTCCAACGGCCCGCCACTGGTTTTGTGTGGCACGTATGATAGTTACAATACTATGCTTCAATTTGAGCGTTTCCACAGCATCTGTAAAGGATGCTTGCTAATTGGTTAACTCTAAACATGGAAATATGTTCACTATTAGGATTCACTGTCATATCTTTTCCAATGTATTTCTGGCATTTTAAGCACCATCAACTGAATGCCATCGAGCTCTATTGTACTCTGTGCTCTCTCACAATGCAAATTCACAAACTATTTAAATGCATAGGTAGTATGGTAAACGCTTTACTTGTAAGTGGTAAGAACTGTAACAGTGACTGTACTGAACAGGAGCACTACATCCAGATGCCAGCACATCTCCCGCTGAGGAGCCTCAGGAGGGAGAGAAACATGAAGAGGTATTCATATCAATCCAGGCATTCCCGGCTCTGCTGGACGTCACTCCCTCATCGTGTGAAATCAGAACGGTCAGCTGTGGATGCCGCCACACAGCTGCAGTATCGAGTAAGAAACCACACTTTACAATGGTTGTATACTAATGCACTTGTTCTTGACAGTCATCTTTATCTCGTATTTTCTTATTTCAGCCACAGGGGACCTCTACACTTGGGGCTGGGGTAAGTTTGAACTGTTGGACACGTGTTACATCTTTTATAGCACTTTCCCTCTACCATCTTAATTCATCAGTATGCTAAGGGCACAACTAAAGTATGCGTTGAACTTACCCTGTCCATCTTTCCTTCTATCACCATTTCAGGTGACTATGGCCAACTTGGACAGCAGACTTTGGTCAGTTCAGATGAGCCCCAGCGGGTGGAGTTCTTCCGGGAGCAGCAGATGCATGTGACTGACGTAGTGTGTGGGGCATGGAACACTTTTGCTGCTGTCGTCAAGGAGGATGTAGCTTGCTCTTAAAAATATGATTGGATCCCCTTGATAAACGTGGACACTGGACTTTGGACAACATACCAGGAAGTGTAAATTATCAGAACAAAAGACTGAATTTATTTTGTGGTATACAAGTTCTTATTTGTGTATGTTAAAACAAGCAACTTCATAAATGAGCACTTTTTGGAAATATTTTACATTTTCTTGATAGAAATTAAAAAAATCACAGGTTTTATATTTCACAAAAGGATGCATAGTTAAGGCAATAAAATCCACAGGTAAATATAATTTAAGGCAAATCTCTAAAATTGTTCTATTTGAAAATCAAACAACATTTGAGAGTTAAAAGTAGATGTATCTCCACAGCCTGCTAGAGGTCTTCACAGCACAATCTTAAAAGAACTGTGGAGAAATCAAAATACAACAGAAGCAGTTAGGAGCGAACATAATTGTGCTGAGCAAAGTACACATCAGTGATGGCAGCAATTAGATTTTTAGTCACCTGACAAAATCTGGTGATCTTGAAATGACGTGCTGAAACTCTGAGAGGTTCACGGTTCCATCCTTGTCAATGTCGGACTCTTCAAGAATCTGAAAAGCATACAAAAGGAAATAACTGTTTTATATATACACACCTAGTGTCCCTCCCTACAGCTTTAAAGAGCAGAAGGCTTAGTGGACTCACATTGCTGATGAGCTGTCTCATTTCCTCGGTGGTCAGTCTCGTGTCGTCCGTCTCGCCAGTCAGGCAGTTGACGAGCCTCTCCAGATCACCACAATCAAGAGTTCCATCATCATCAAAGTCTGGAAATATTAATATGCTTATTACACAGATTCATAGCCTTAAAGATATCATTACTAACCAGTCAACTTATTTACCAAATATCCGGAATGCATAGTGGGATTTGATTTCCATCGTGGCAGAGTCGCTGAAGGCACTCAGGAGATCCAGAAAGTCCTCAAATGTGAGGCTTCCATCTTTGTGTTGAGATGTTGAGAAAACGCGGCAGATTCTTGTCCTGAAAGGGTTAGACTGTGCCAGGAACAAGTACAAGGGTCAGTATGGTTTATCAGTGAAGGACGTGAAGCACTCCCCCCCCCCCCCCTCATGTTCCCTGTCTATTAGGTGACAGCTGCGTGTGCCTAGCAGGGTTCGTCTCCAGTGAGTCATGTAGCCACGGCTATAAAGACACCATCATCAGTGAGTCGTACTTGACCTGAAAGGGTTGGACTGTGCCAGGAACAAGTACAAGGGTCACTATGGTTTATCAGGACGCGCCGCACCCCCCCCCAGAACGCACACAGCACAGGACATGTCTTAGTCATGCAACGAGAACGCCCATGAAGCAGGCCATGTTTATTCTGCTTTATTCTCACCTTGAGCTCTGGCAGAGTGAGAATCCTCTCCATTGGTAATCTGGTATTTGGAAGGTCTTTCTCATCTTTTGTGAGCAGTTCAGTGAATCTCTTGTGAGCACTAAACAAACAAAAACAGCTTAGTCATGGATTTCAATAAGCAGTGCTGGGTTGATTCCAATGCTCTTTAAACAAATATATTTGTAATATAGCATGCAGCTGTACTTACAGAAGAATTTCTTGTTTCGTCAAGAATGTCAGCTCCTACGAGTTAAAGTGAGCATTATTGGAATGATCAGTCACAGATTACCTGAAACAATACTTTCCATAACACAAAAGTCTTATTTCTCATAACCCAGCCATGGTCTGCCTAACATTAGTATATTAGCAACATTAGCTTTCACTTATTGATACAAGCGTGGTGAAAAGTGTGGTAATATAACAGCTAATCATATTAAGCCGTCATTAGCGTAGTGAGTAAATCATACTGACACGTTACTTCTAATGACACTAAGGCTCTCGCTGATTGTTTTCTTCTGTCTTAAAACTTAAGGCTAACATAGCTACGCTACTTTATCACGGGGCGTAAAAACAAACGCTCTCAACTTCGGTCAACAGGAACCCTCATTACGATGTTTACTATTTGCTTTTTTTAAGTATTCTCTTTGGACTTACTTGATATTCTGAGAGCAAATCCTTCCCGAGTTGACTCGCCGTAGTGCCCATTTGGTAAATGTCGATTCGAAGCTGTACTTTTGTTGTTGTAAAGAGTTACCCACCGGACGAATTCTTTTTTATTTTTTTTTACTCCGCTTACTTCCGGTATCATGCCCTTTCCTGTATTTGGCAACGTGACGGTTTACATAGTGACGTACTTGCAAACAGCACGTGTCCAGACAGACGGACAGGTGACAGGTGAGCGCTCGAGCTCACCTGTCACCTAACTTGTTCATCCTACAGTGTCTTTATTTTGAAACAGTTTGTATGTATAAAAAAGGCCCGATTTCGTACTTAAGTGTTTGTTTTTTCTCTTTTTAAAAGTATTTTGGGGCATTTCTTCGTTTACTCAAGAGGGAAAGATGAGAGGTGACAAGAAACAAGGGGAGAGAAACATGATGGATGACATGCAACAGAGTACTTTGGATGCTACCTTTTATTGTATTCACAAAAAGGGCTACCACCTGTCCCATAACTACTGTACTTCAGTATACCACAACATAAAAAAGGTTACAGCAAGATATTGCATTCAAAAAATACAACTATATGTAAAACTTATAATTGAGAGAATTTGCAGGAGATCCAGGTAATGCTCTCTAAAGAACAATTATGTCACTTACTATTGCCCTGTATGAACTATAGTCTATACAAAATGGAAATACTTGAGTGGAGTTTCAGTCTTTTGGGCCTAAAACAGTAAATCTTTCCATAACTGCTCTTATTTATTTATTTGGTTTTATGCAGTTTGTTTTCTTTAACTTGATTTATTAATCATGTCTTGTTTGTATTATTTTTGAAATTTCCTCATGCCCACGTCCCATAACAAATCCAAAGTAAAACTCCAATAACTGTTCTAAACATCTTCATTTCATAATAGATTTGCAACAAACAGGGTACATTTTATCGTTATTGTTGTTATTTGAACCAACAAACATGCATTTTCTTCTGAAAAATAAAATTATTAATTGTGCTTTCTAGTTTACAAAAATGTAAAAAATATACTGTACGTAATCATAGCCACAAAACCGCAAATTCTGGAAATACATTAATTCACTGAGCATTTGCTAACTCATTTTTCTGAACAATACTGAGTGAAGATGAGAAATATAGACGAGGATCTTGACGGGAAGATCAGAAGATGGTTGCTTCAACCCATGAAAGAAGAGCAGCTAGGCTCCTGGATTTGTCTCCCAATCTGATGTATCTGAAAAAAGAAGAAATATTCTTAATGCAGGAAATAGGATAATGTGCAAAAAGTTAAAGAATTTTAAATGCTTATTGTATCTAATTGTTATCTAAGATATTTTACATTCTACTTAGGCTCTAATCCCATTACAATAATTGGGCTTTTTATTCCCATATAACATCTCTTATGTGTTTTATCTTCACAGATTGTACCTGTCATTTTCGTTCCCTCCTTGGTCTCAGCTGAAACACCAGTCCCGTACTCGTTTTCCCCGGTGACTCTGAAGAAGTAGATCCCGCCCTCCTCCAGGTCAGACACCTTGTAGGACGGCCGGCGGCATTTGTCTGTGAGTCTTGTCCACCCTTTTCTGCTGATGTCCCGTATATCTACAAGGTAGTTATTGACAGGGGCTCCTCCCTCATTTTCGGGGATGTCCCAGGTAACAGTGGCAGAGTTCTTGGTCACATCTTTAACTACTACATGAGTTGGTGGACCAGGTGAATCCAAAACCCTCACATTCAGCATCAAAGAGGCAGATCCAGCAACGTTTTGCAGTTTGACTACATATTTGCCAGAGTCATCGCGAGTCGCTCCTTCCAGTGTGATAGAGGTGACGGAGGTGCTGGTGTTGATCATTCCTCTGACTCTCAGATCTACATTTACTTTGTCCCATGTCACACTAGGAACAGGCTTGCCTGTGAAAGGCACAGTCAAAGTGAAGGAGCTGCCATCTTTAACAAGCAGGGTCTTCCTAATATCTGCGCTAATATCAAACCGGGGCTCCTCCTCTCTCTCCATGGCCACTTCAGAATCTGTTTCAGGACTGGGCTCGCTGATGCCTATCTTGTTTATGGATCTCACAATAAAAACATATTCCGTCCCTGATGTGAGTCCAGTTACTGTAAACTCTGTTTTATCTGTGTTGTGAACACCAACAGTCCAGTCTTCTTCTGCTGATTTTCTGAATTCAACTTTGTACCCGGTTACTGCTGCTCCACCATCAAACAGCGGCTTGTTCCATGACAGAGTGATGGAAGACCTGGATGAATCGATTATGGTGGGTTTTGCAGGCGGGGAGGCTAGAAACTTTGGATCGTCTGCCAGAGTGAGTGAGCATGGGAGACTGGGTTCACTTAGGCCCGCAACATTCTCAGCAAAGACTCTGAATTCATACTCGCATCCCTCGTACAGCCCGGAGGCTTTGACTCGTAGGTCATAGACAGGCTTCTTGTTAACACGAACCCAACGGACACCCTGCTTCTCCCGCTTCTCGATGATGTAACCGCTGATGCGGCTACCGCCATCAGAGGCAGGTCTCTTCCAGCAGATAGTCATAGCTTCGATGGTTGCACTTGTGACCTCAACATCAGTCGGAGCAGATGGGATGGTGAAGGGATCCATGGCCTTGATGGGCTCACTTTCCAAAATCTCACCTTCCCCATATTTGTTCACTGCTCTCACCCTAAACAGGTATTCATTTCCTTTGAGCAGCTTGGTTATTTTGCCGGTAGTTGCCACCATGTCACCGTACACAAGGGTCCACGCTACGCGGCTGGTTTCACACTTCTCTACAATGTAGTGGATGATCTCAGCTCCGCCAGTCTCATGCGGGGGGCCCCATGACAGGGTGCATTTCTCTGCTGAGACTCCAGAAACTTCTAGAGGTCCAGCAGGTGGGCCGGGTCTGTCCAGAACCTTGCAGGTGATAGCCTTAGATGTGGTACCACCTGTACTCTGTAGGGTGAGAATATACTGTCCGGAGTCTTTCCTAACACTTTCTCTGATCAGTAGAGAGGTATGCGTCTTTGTTGCGGTTATCTCAACCCGTCCCTTGGTGCCGATATTTCTACCATTTTTCAACCAAAACACTGTAGGGTTGGGGCGGCCAGAGATGTCAGCATCTATTCTTAGGAGGTCTCCTGCTTTGACAACCACCACCTGTCTAAATTTGTCCTCCAAGGTAATTTTGGGTGGCTCCACATCATGCTGTACCGTAACAGGTCCTGTGGTTTCAGAGGGCGCACTGAAGAGCTCAACTGCATTCTTTGCAATCACACGAAAATCATACTGTTCACCTTCTGAGAGTTCAGTCACTTCGAAGAAGGTGTCCAGTAGGCTGGTAAAGTTGCACTTAAGCCAGCAACTATCTGGCAGCTCTTTACGCTCAACAATGTACCCGGTAATTTTAGCCCCACCATCATATTCTGGTTTGTCCCAAGAGAGGGAAACTGAGCTGTTAGTTATATTGGTGACTGTGAAGTTGTGTGGGGGATCGCACCGGTCTCTTGCTGCTACAGGCTCGGATGCCTTACTGCATGGTCCAACACCAGCCATATTCTCAGCACAGAGCCTGAACTCATATATCAGACCTTCTTCAACACTTGTTACCTTAAACTGGTTCTCAGTTACCGGGTTTCTGTTTAACTTTGACCACAAAATACTGCTTTGATCTTTGCATTCAATATGATAACCAATAATAGGGCTACCACCGTCACTGTCTGGCTTGCTCCATGCAACCACCATGACGGACTTTGAGGCACTAACAATACGGAGATAGGTTGGTGGACCAGGGGGCTTAAAGGGATACTGTGCAACAACAGGTTCAGACTCAACAAAGAGGCTTTTGCCATAGCGATTCTCCGCAGCAACACGAAACTGATATTCAGTGCCCTGTGTCAAACGAGAAATCTTCATTGATGTTCTGGCAACCGTCGCTGACATAGTCTGCCATATTGTGCTACCTGTATCTCTCTTCTCAACAACATAATTACTGATTTGACATCCGCCGGTGTAATGTGGGGGCTGCCACGACAAAGACATAAAGTCAGCACTAACTTCATCCACACTGAGTTCACTAGGTGGTCCCGGTTTTTCAAACACACTGACAGAGATTTCCGCAGATGTGGTTCCAGTGGAGTTGGTTAGGGTCGCCTCATACATGCCAGCGTCTACTCTGGTTGCATCTTTGATAATGATCTGAGATGATGTGTCAGATGTGTGCACATTCACTCTGCTTGTCTCTTTCAGCAAGTTGCCATCTTTCTTCCAGGCTACTGTTGGCGTTGGTACACCCTTGAATGGAACATCAATCTTTAAATCATTTCCTGCCATCACATTGAATGTCTTGGACAGCAAATTAAAAATGGGCTCAGCGCTGGTATCCTTTACTTCAACAGGTGCCACAAGGGACTTTGGTTCACTTTTTCCCTTTTCATTTACAGCACTCACTCTAAACAAATACTCCTTTCCTTTTGCCAGCCCATTAATAGTCGCTTCCAGCGCTTTACCCTCCGAACACATTGTCCATGTGTCATCTCCCTTGGCCTGCATTTCTACAATATAACATGTGATTTTGCTGCCTCCATCATGTTCAGGCTTCTCCCAAGAGAGTCTTGCACTATTGCATGCAACATCACTGAGTGTGATTTTTCCAGGAGGCAGAGGAGCCTCAGACAATTTAACAGCCTCGGTGGTCTCTGCTGGCAGTCCATTGCCAAACTCATTCACAGCCAGAACTCGGAAATAATAGAAGCTCCCTTCCTGGAGGTTGTCAATCTTGTATGAGTTTCTCACACAGTTGCTGCAGACGCTGGTGAATGCCTTCCTGGCCTCCTCTCGTTTTTCTACGATGTAGTGCGAAATCTTTGCTCCTCCGTCAATGAGAGGTGCCTCCCAGGAGATTAACACAGAGTCCCTCTTTGCATCCTTTACCTCCAGGTTTGTCGGTGCGCTAGGAGAGTCCAACACTCTGACGTTGATGAATGCAGATTTAGAGCCACTGCAGTTCTCGGCAGTCAACACATATTTTCCTGAGTTGTTTCTGTTGACATTCTCGATCAATAACTCTGTGTAGGAGCTTGTGACCTCAATTTGAGCACGCTCACTGACAGTGCCGCCTTCCTTTGACCATCTAACCTCAGGCTCTGGCC